AGAGAGAGAGAGAGAGAGAGAGAGAGAGAGAGAGAGAGAGCGAAATCTAGAGTTAGAGAGAGAGAGAGAGAGAGCTAGTTACGCCTGCATTAAGCATGCTAGAGTGTCACCACCTCTTGCCGGCGGCTCCGCGCTGTCTCTGCTCGTCTGCTTACCTACTTACCTACTTACCTACTTACCTACTTACCTGATTACCTACTTACCTACTTACCTACTTACCTACTTACCTACTTACCTACTTACCTACTTACCTACTTACCTGATTACCTACTTACCTACTTACCTACTTACCTACTTACCTGATTACCTACTTACCTACTTACCTACTTACCTACTTACCTACTTACCTACTTACCTTCTTACCCGCTTACCTACTTACCTACTTACCTACTTACCTTCTTACCCGCTTACCTACTTACCTACTTACCTACTTACCTACTTACCTGCTTACCTTCTTACCCGCTTACCTACTTACCTACTTACCTGCTTACCTACTTACCTGCCTGCTTACCTACTTACCTACTTACCTACTTACCTGCTTACCTTCTTACCCGCTTACCTACTTACCTACTTACCTGCTCATCTACTTACCTGCTTATCTGCCTGCTTACCTACTTACCTGCCTACTTACCTACTTACCTACTTACCTACTTACCTGCCTGCTTACCTACTCATCTACTTACCTACTTACCTGCTTACCTGTAGAAGTCTGAGATCCGGCCGTTCCGCCCGGACGAGTACAACACAGACAGTAGCGATCGCTCCGAGCTCTCCGACATCGCTGAGGAGCAGGAGGAGGAGTACAGCGAGCAGAGCGAGGGCGCCGGACAGAAGGGACACAATCACCAGGTGTGTGGTGGGGAGAGGGGGGAGGGGAGGGAAGGGGGAGGGAAGGGGAGGAAGGAGAGGAGAGAGGCTAGGAGGGGAAGGAGAGGAGAGAGGCTAGGAGGGGAAGGAGAGGAGAGAGGCTAGGAGGGGAGGATAGGAGGGAACGGGCGGGAAGAGGAAGGGAGAGAGGGAGGAGGAGGGGATAGGAGGCAGGAGAAGGAACATTTTCTGAGCGGAGATGCCGCGCAGACGGAACACCCACCCACCAGGTGCGTGCCGACGAAGGGGGAGGGGAGGGTAGGATTAGGACTGTGTTCGGAAGAGTGGGAGGGGGTGGAATGAAGGGGTTGGGTTGGGGGAAGGGTGTGAGCATGCAGCGACTCCCTATTCACAGAAACCATCCTCTCATGAAGCAGCAATCATCTGACATCGTCTCACGGAAGATGCTGCTGATCATTTCAGGGCCGTGGCAGCGGAGGGACTCTGGGAGGCGGTTCCCGTGGCAACAACAGGGCGGCTGCGGCGGACAAGGGAGGAGCGACGCCTCCGCGCACGATCCTGGACTCCAAGCGGCTTCCGTCACCCAGTCAGCTTCGGTCCGTACAGGAGGGAGGCCGCACTCTACCAGGCAGTAAGTCACTGCTGCCAGCAGTAGCAGCAATAATTCTAGCAGCAGTAGCAGTAGCTGTAGCAGCAGCAGCAGCAGTAGTGGTAGCGGCAGCTGCAGCAGTTGCAGCAGCAGTAGCAGTAGCAGCAGTAGCAGTGGTAGCGGCAGCTGCAGCAGTAGCAGCAGCAGTAGCAGTAGTAGCAGCAGCAGTGGTAGCAGCAGCAGCAGCAGCAGCAGTAGCAGTATCAGCAGCAGTAGCAGTAGCAGCAGAAGCAGCAGTAGCAGCAGCAGTTGTAGCAGCAGCAGCAGCAGTGGTAGCGGCGGCAGCAGCAGCAGCAGCAGTAGCAGCAGCAGCAGCAGTGGTAGCGGCGGCAGCGGCAGCAGCAGCAGCAGCAGCAGCAGCAGCAGCAGCATCAGTAGCAGCAGTAGCAGTAGCAGCAACAAATTACAACGGTAGAAGATAGCCCGCTGTAAGATAGCTAGCACGCAGCATTTATACGTACAGCCAACCCCCACATATAAAAGTTACATTCCTCGCTCGCTCACTAGATGTCGCTCTTGCCTTGCCTCTAGTTGACCAGCAAAGGCAGCAGGTGAAGCAGCAAGGGTCTCCCAGGATGGACCGCAGACAGGTGCAGCCCGTTGCCACGGCGACGGACGCAACGCATGCGCAGACAGACAAGAGCATGGAGATGACGTAAGATTACTTTCACGAACTTGGATTATATTTCAGGTCACACGTATCACCTTTTCTCTCCTTCTCACGCTCTCGCTGTCTCTCTCTTTCTTTCTCTCTCTCTCTCTCTCTCTCTCTATCTCTATCTCTCTCTATCTCTCTCTCTCGT